AAATCACCGGTACCGCTTTATTGGACAGTTCTGAGATCAATTGCCCATCGCCTATACCATTCATATCACAAGAATACTAAAATCTCATATTCATCAAATCATCCACTAGCATTGCCAACATTTCCTTTCAAGTTCTGAGGCAGCAGCTTTCATCTTCCAGTAGTGTCGGTTCTCCACCAAACTCTCCGAAAAACCTTATGGAACACAATGGATTCCAAAGCGTATGAACGTCACGTGTTTAATATATTTGTGCAATGGAAATGTCCATCTGTAATGGGTCGTCTGTCTTACGGTTTGTGATATATGATCACCCTTGCATTTGTGACATCTGGATCTGAGAAGAAATGACTTATAATGGTAGACTTATCAAATTTTCATGTTCTGATGCATATCAAATTTTGTTACATCATCAATCCGTCGAAGAACCCCACTTTTGCTGCTTTGATCCTGAATCACAGTTTTACTGTCAATATTCAGCAATCATGATCATGAGTGAGATCAAGTGCATAGAGAACCTTGATGATGGATAAATTCACATTGCACTTCAGCTCTTCGTCTATTTTCGCAATTTGCATACCATATTTGGTAAGTCCTACAATGAGATACCTAATCTTCTTATTTGCTTCAGTTGCCATATACTTACTTACATAGCAGACTGCGCAGCCTTTTTTCGAAAGTGTGGCAATATCGATTAGCTGACCTACAGATGGATTATCTACACACGGCAATGAACCTGTCGTTCTTCTTGCAACTAATCAAAATGATGCTCCTCTTGCTTCTGCTCAAGACTCATTTGAGTTATTACGGTTTGATTACGGTCTTTCTGATCCATTAACAGCTGTTTACGTAATTCATGCCACTTCACTTTTATGTGTTTGAATGGGGTAACTATTTATACTAACAACCCATCCGATTGTGATTGATTCTTTTCCAGTCGTTGCAAAGTAGGATGGTTCAAACAATTTAAAATTTTGATTTCATCTGGCGGTTCAGCTCACTTTACTCACCGTCGCTGACTGTAACTCAATTTATTGCCATCTAGCCCTGACTTAAGGCGGCAATTATGGTTTGGTTGTTTTGTTTCAAATTTTGAACGTTTAACTGGTGCAGTTTATTATTTGCATGTATTCTTATGGCAATTTTTTATCCAGATATGATATATCATAAGTCTATTAAAATTTAAAGAAATATTACGTACCATAAAATGATCCTATCAAGATTACGGCCGTGGTATTGTAGTGGGTTCTGAGTGCCAAGGCAACTCTCAGAGCTATGCCAGCATAAGCTTGGGCCTTCGAAGGGTCACTCATGCTGGAAAGGTCTAAAGCGAGAGGTCAGACCAAATGCAATCAATCAAGATTGCACTGGTTGAATATTAAAAGGAAGAATTCTGGCAGGACATACTGCATCGGTTTTCGTGCAGGTTTAAAGGGTAGGATTAGAAAAGGCTTCTGACAATGAAGCAAGGTCACGAGTAGAGAACCGAAAGGTTAAATCAAAAACTTGTGAAAGTAAAGGCATGGCCGAAGTTATCCCCTCAGCTACTTTCGAGGTTTACATGAACGAGAAAACGGTATTCTCTAATGGAAGAAACGCATCTTTGAAGCAAGGAGTAAAGAATACATTTAATTCACTGAACCTAGGGTCTCATGCAGATGACTAGTAGGGAGGAAAGTATGACTGATGGATTGACTGATTTTCAACGGTATACTTCAAAAATAATGGCTTCGAAAGAGTCGCTTCCATCAAAAACGAAAAGGCGAACCATTTGCGTATTCAGCGATGTTTTATTAAAAATAAGTTTACTATTTCAAGTAAGTCATGTAGGTGTAATATTCATGATGACAAAATTGGCGAAAACGTACTACTGTTGGGCGGTACTTGACTTAGTTTTTGCCGTGGCCTGCTGCTCACACTTCATTTATCGCTTACGGTGTATTGAAGAGAAAATATGGCGCTCGAATCAAGATGCAACTCATGATGAAACAATTAATTCGACTGTTTGACGCTTTTCATCGTTTTCAACCATATACTTCATGCAAATGTATTTTACATATTATTCAAAGAATAGACTTAATGCCACTACAGCCTACTTCTACAGAAAAGTGAGCATCAGTCTGTTTAATGATCTATAAATATCCGATACCCATACCCACTCCGAGGGGGGGGGGTGTAAGTTTTTCAATGATCTTCAAGGAGGAGATCAGCGAAGAAGATTCTGCGGCAGAATGTGCATGCCTGAATAACTGTACTAAGCGAAAGCTTGCATAGTAAATATAATTCGTCAAGCAAATAAAAATAGATGACAAAAAGATGGTATGCAATGCATAAGATTATTTGATCAGGTAACGCAACCGCGTATGTCTTTTAGATTACAGCCGCTGGTTCAGCGTCATTCGTCATCCTACTTGTATTCGTTATTAGCACGTCACGAACAATAAGTCGACGTTTCTCCGTTGTTCTGTGCCCCCAACTCTTAGCTGTCACAGGTAGCCAAGTAATTTGACCATCGGTCATCCCAGAGCGTCGTGGACAACTGAGGGTACGATTGTGGTAGAGCGCAACCAGCTTCGTAATTCTTTATGTCAACTTATTGTCTTTTAGGTGAGCCCCATGACTGGTCCAAATCTTGAGGTCGCGTAAGGCAAAATCATGTCTGTTTATCCTATTTTTTGTTGAATTTGTGCATTTGGAACGTGGTCCCGTCTGTGTGGGTTGAGGGGGTGGTTGGTGGAGAAGGGGGGGAGGGTGGGGAACTTTGGACATTCTTCGCTCCATCGTTCTTTAAATATCTGTTTCCTTAATTTTAATGACAGATCAACAATCGCGTCGTAGATCACGGCAAGTGGCACGGTGCAGTCGAACTGTTGTTTCTTCACCCGCATGCAAAAAACTGCTCAGAATAATGACGTAGTATGCGAGTCTTAAATCTTTATGGGTAGTCGGCCTACCACATAGTCTAATTTGCTGTTCAAAAGCAACATAGCAGTCTTTAAATGTTTCATTTAAAATTCAGAAGGTTCTTGAATGTACATTTGTGTAAAGTAATCTGATCATAATGGACCCTGCTGATGGCAGTGGCAAGTAACAGCGAATAACCTTTCTCTTGAAACGAAAATGACATTATACCGCTGCATCTTTCGATATTCAATAAGCAAGTCGCGTTGACTAGATTTTCCTCTTCAATCCAGTGTCGTTGAGATGT